TCGCACTTAGTGCAGCACGGGATTCTGGGATTACGTCATCAATATTTAAACTCTAGGGGAGTGGAGTGGGTTAAAATGTGGTCCGAAGCACAAATGGCAGGATTCTACCTATTGTTTTCTCATATATTTCTCACTTCGTTTGTTAATATAATTTCAATTATACTTTCAGGCCGCTTCGCGGCCCTTGTATAATTGTGATTTCTTGATAACTCAAATGAGTGAAGCAACGGAAAAAAACCACTTTTCGTGTTGAAGGTTAATATGTTCMTGTATTCTTGAGATTTGAAAAGTAATGATGTTTCAAGGAGAAGTCTTTAGTCACGCAATCGCCAAACAATGATTTCTGCATATTTAATGAGTCAAAATAAAAGCTCTCGCAAAAAGCGCACAATTATTTCCCCAAAATAAAAAATACATTTTTCAAAAGAGCAGTTTCCCAATAGTTGTTGACTGTAATCTCATAAGATTTAAAAGGATGGCACATAGGGAAACTCGCAGTTTTCGAGATGCATTGACAAGCGTTGTAACTCAGTGCCCTTTGCTTTTTATTGTGTTATAAATAATTCAGAGTTGTTCGATTTTTATAAAACTACTCATAATGAGTTGTACTCTTGGCAGTATTAGAAGGCTATTTGGATCAACAGTTTTGATACACGGACCAAGCGAAAGTAAGCAATTTTCAGCCATCTTTTGGCAACGAAAATCGTCCCTGGAGCTCAAACCGATTTTTCCCTTTTTCTCAAAAACAAAAAAAAAAGTATTTTTCAAAACTTTACGCATATTTCTAATTTTGTTTGATTTTTACAGACAGTCGCTCTTAAACTGAACTAAACGTTGTCCAAAACGTTCACTCGGGCTTACGAGGTCTTGTTTCTCGGCTCTGCTGTTGTTTTCTGTGAACCTTCGTTATCTTGAGCTCAGCGCAAAGCGCATGCGTCCTAGACACAGGAAGTCCAAATATCCTTGTATTACATGTTGATATTTAAAAGTCAAATAAACACAAAAGATAATAAAATTGAATGAACTTGACATGAGAAATATATTATCTGCAGACAAACCTACTGATAATACTTTTATCCTGTGAAGCAAGGGAGCACATTAAAATTTTGTTTGTGTAAGGAAAGTCATTGTTCTTGGTTGATCTATCTAGCGCGCAATCCATCTTGTGACAGGCGTTCCTCGTAGTGTTTTGGTTTTGGCCGATCCGAATGGCCTACGATCGTGTAAGGAAGGGAATGACGCAAGATATTCGTCGGTTATCGGAGTAAATTCGCTAGCCCGACTAAAGCAAGGAACGCCTGCCATGAAGTGTAGCGCGCGCACGTAAACAAGAACTACAAGGAACGCCTGCCATATCTTAGAATACGTGCGATAAAATCGAAGATAAACCAACACAATCAAAATTTTAACGTGCTCCCTTGTGTGAAGTTCACATGATATCAGGGACTGGCCTGATGGCTCTCGACCAATCAGAAGTGAGATATTGAGTTACACAAACTCTTCTCGAAGTTTGCATTCATTGAAATGATTTTGATTGTGTTTTCATTATATTCATTATTATGAGACCTTGTAATTGAAAATATCAATTTAGTTCGAGTTATTTTATCGTGCATCCCAATACTGAAAAGCGCCCGAAATCGTACAATTTGGTGGACGTCAATCACAGTACAGTGTTCCCATGACAATGTTGGGTAACACAAAGTTTTAGTTCCGGGTACTGAAGTGGTAAGCACTATTGGATTACGTGCGTGCTATATTTAGAAGCACCGCAAGCATTACGCGGCTAAATAGCGGTGGATTCAATGCCATTCCACTGTGGAGGACAAGCAAATGTCTCAGCACAACTAGTATCGATATTGTCCAGATTACGACTTCGTAAAGGAGGTGGCGAGATCTTCAGTAATTCAACAGTTTCTTTGTCCTTATTGCTTTCAGTTTCTATCGTCGAATTCTTGGCTGATACAAAGTGTTTGTTCAGTTGGTAAAACTTTGCCTTGTCACATACAGACTCGTGTTGTCTTGTCTCGTTTTCTTTCGATTGATGTTTCTGTGTTTGTTGTAAGTTTGTTTCATCGGTTCCGTTCTGGTAGCAACCATGATCACCGTGTTGTAAGTTTGTTTGCTCGGGTCTGTTCTGGTAGCAGCCATGATCACCGTGTTGTAGGTTTGTTTGTTCGGTTCTGTTCTGGTAGCAGCCATGATCCACGTGTTGTAGGTTTGTTTGGAGTTCGGTTCTGTTCTGGTAGCATCCATGATCCACGTGTTGTAAGTTTGTTTCATCGGTTCTGTTCTGGTAGCAGCCATGATCACCATGTTGTTTCTCCATCACGGACAGTCTGTCTTCAGGTGTACTTTGCTGTTGTTCTTTCTCATATTGCAGTTCTCTTGTTGTTTGGTTTCCTGTAGTTGTTTCCTTGTCTTGTTCTTGTTCTCTCCGATTCACGTCTTGGTGGTCTGGCTGTTGTACTGGTTGGTGATGCTTGTCATTATTCTCTGGTTCATTTGAATTTTTCACAAGTCCTTGAGTCGTTGGTCCGTAAAACAGTCGTTTCTCTCGAAGTACGTCTTCAGTCATTACTCCGTTCGGTAAAGAATACCCTTCGATAGAATCTGGTTCTTGTTTTTTGTTTGGAACCCCATTTTTCTTTCGTCTTTTACGTCGTTTTGGCGGCTGCATGTCAGACTGCTGATCTTCTTTTCTTTGATGTTTTCGCCGACGTCCTTTTCGTTTCCTTTGCAGTTGTTGTAATTCATTGTGTCTGTATTGCTGTAGATGATCTATTTTGACTCTCTTGGCTTCTTGTCCTTCAGTTTTCAACTCATCGTCTTCCTTATTTGGCAAGAATATATACTGGATGTCTAGAAACGACTGCAATCAAAGACAAAGTTAGTTCACATCCACCTGAGAATCCCTATGTCTTCAAAAGGTTTTTTTTTTTTGTACAAATGGATTTTAACGGGGTTTTGACGGTTCTATAACTATAGAGAGGCTGTTAGTCAAATCACCAAGATGCATGACAAAATTGTTACTGCGGAGGGAAGGAAGGGGCTCAGTTTGCATTCGAGAAAAGATACAAGAAATCAAAGAAACGAGGAAACAGCCTAGCTATTTCAAAAAAGTTTGTTGAAGGTTTTGTCGCATAATGCATGTTGCATATGGCATACCAAGCCAAGATGCACTATGGGCGATGTTAATGCAAGGGTCAAAACAATTTGGAATTTTCCTAAACTGTTTGCTTATTTTTTGACACATCTTTTTTTTGTGCTGGCAATATTTTGGCAACAKGCACAATGCGGCAACATGCAACATGCAACCTTTTGAAATAGTTGTAAACCAATGAGTTGACAAGTTTCAATAGTCATCGTTTACAGCTATAATAATTAATGTTTTTGTTTTCTGACCTTGGCATAAAGACCATAGATTCGAGAGAGTTCGGTCATAGTGATGTGATTATCAAGAATTTCATCTGATCGAACAATCTCGGGCTGAAAATATAAACAAGTTTATTATTGGATGACGTCACAATAATGAAATCATTCAGGCATGCGCATTACATTAGTATTTATGAACATTCCGTCGTACCCATGGCCCTTATAATGTGTAACAGTCAAATAGACACGAAAGAAAACAATGGATTTAGGGTCTACTAATGTGTATTCGTCCAATATCTATTGCACGGGTTTAGTGACTTCACTCTAGTCAAATAGACACGAAAGAAAACAACGTAATTAGGGTCTACTAATGCGTATTAGTGTAATATCTATTTCACGGGTTTAATGACTTCACTACACTGTTGTTCACTAATTATACAACTTTGTTTTATGGGCCAAGTAAAATTATCACAGCTCTATTAGACATTATCTATATTTTGTTTGGCCTATTCAGTACAATTTTCCTTAAAGACAGGATGACAATGACGTGTTTACAAGCTGTATTTGGTAATGAACCGTTAGATAACACCCTACCTGGTGTGTGGGTGGGATTCCAAACTTTATCGACAGAAATTTCTTCAGAACACCAACGGTAACTGTAGAAGAACAGCGTAAAAAACGCGTGGGGAAAATCTGCACAGAAAATAAAAGCCGTACAAAGTTGTTGGGTAAAATAAGGAAAATGGGAGCAAACTTTCATAGACTTATTTTGTGCGTAGTTTTCCTATTTTACGCAATTCAAAGTGTCTCGTTCCTTTACATTGTTCACTGTTCCATGAAATAATATATTTATGAAAAATAATATATTTATAAAATTATTCATTTTCTTCTGGTGTTTGTTGTGATATCATATTTAATTAGCATAAAAAACCACATACCTAGCAAAACAAAAAGACTCGGCATCATTAAGGCATGGCTCTCAGATGAAAAACTGATTAGCTATATCATAGCCAGTTTTCTACGAATCTTTCCCAAACTTGGCAAGTTAATGTCTTTTGTGAAAAGAAGGAACCTTAGAGCCTTGGTTACCATGGAAACTAAGTCACGTGACCACAAGGCCGCCATCTTGGATTTTTAAACAAGCCGTTTGTAAACGTACCGAAACATSTTTAAAAGTCATGAAAATGCAGATTACTATTCATATTTACAATGCCTATATGGATCTAATTGGATATCTTGAAAATTATTTTAAGTTTAATTTTTAGAATATTTTCTATTTTTTCCAAAAAATTAAAAATATTCTAAAAATTAAACTTAATATAATTTCCAAGATATCCAATTAGATCCATATAGGTATTGCAAATATCAAAAGGAATATGGATTTTCAGGACTTTTGAAGTAGTTTCAATACGATTACAAACGATTTTTTWAAAAATCCAAGATGGCGGTCTTGTGGTCACGTGACCTGGTTTCCATGGTAACAGATATGCGGTAATTGCTTGCCTTGAAGAATTACTACTACGAGCCAAATTTGGGAAAGATTCATAGTAAACTGTCAAAGTATGAATAAATAACTGATTTTCCATCACTTCCTCAAAAGAGCCATGCCTTAATGGTGCTGAGAAGAAAACAACAAAAAAACAGATTTTTTGCCTTTCATTACCGTTAATTAGGTGCTTGACGACATCATTTTTAAAATGGTGACAATTGTTTTTGGATTTTACATCCCCCAAACTGTTGGTTATTGTGCGAAGCAACTAAAATGTTCATAAATTTCCCACGGGATTACATAAGGCCCCGGAATATTTATTTGGGTGGGCAATTAAACATGGCTGGGATTGGTCTAATGATTGAAGGGGGATGTACTCGAGAGCCTTACCTGTTTTTCAGTGTGTTGAAATCTTTTGCGCCTGATTTAATGGAAAAATATATAAATTCATAATAATTCAAAATAAATCAATAAAATATTTTTACTGCGATAACCGTTGTATCGCGATCCGCTGTTTCAAAACCGATTGGATTTTTGGTAGTAATTGGCCTTATCTGGCATGTTGTGGATTCCCTGCGTCGTATTTTTATTGTTTTTCGTATTTGGACGTTTAACTCGAGATAAAGTTAGATAAATAATTAAATAAACACATTTATTATATAATTACCAATGAAATATCTATTTTTCTCTATTTCGAAAAATTCATATCTTCACACGTGAAAATAACATGTTATTTTCACGTGTGAAGATAACACCATTGTGATGGCTATTCAAAAATACACGGAAAGAATTGCCTGAAAAAGCCAAAACATACTTCATTGATAATTATATGATAAACAGAATATTACATGGCCGCTTGGAGATACGAATTTTATCTTCTCGTGTTGAAAATCTCTCACTCGTTCGCTACGCTCACTCGTGAGAGATCTTTTCAACACTCGAAGATAAAATTCGTATCTCCGCGCGCCCATGTAATATCCTCTATGTATGACATTGGCCATGACATTTATATGATGGTACTATCAGTGGAGCGCGCGCGTTCATTTTGGCGCGAAAATTCCCGCCAAATCCACAGGAACTCTAAATATGGAACATGAAGAAAACCAATTAGTCACTGTCTTCCTACAAGAAAGAAAATGTAAAGCATACCCATAGTATTCCAGCTGGATACAGACAGGGTCATCAATCACGTCAGGACAGCCATTCTGATCGGATTTCTCTTCAGCGGTACCTTCTGTTTCTCCTGGAATAATCCGTTCTTCATTCTTGGTTTCTAATGATTGACAGCATACACAATAACTACCAACAAACCAATATTTCCCAGGTCTCTGGAGGTTTGGGAGACGACAAGGAAGGCGGTGAAAAGACTAGCCCTTGCGGCGGCAAGTCTTTCTATGCTTTACGCATGCGTCTAGAACAAAGGTTGCCAGGTGTAAAACGTCTAGCTCCGGGTTCTCAGGTTTTCCTTTCTCCCTCCACGGGCAAAACACAAGCTAAATTGCAATTAGTTCTGTGAGTTAGCCGTGCCCTGACTTAGATCAGC